TCACCATTTACCAAATTTTCAATTTTTGAACCAGGTTTTGCTGATCTCTTCTCTATTAATTACTGCTTCTGGGAATTTTGTAAAAAGATTAATAGTGAAGCTCATTAGTTGTGAATAGTTCATAAGAAGACTAGCACAATTAAATCAAAAACCATGTTGTAACTTCTAACATAAGTCATTGATTTTTAAAATTCAAAAGCATATCTATTATGATTTTTATCTGAAATAATAGCTAAGGTAATAAAAATGCCAAATTTTTTTGAACAACAGGTTTTTAAATTTGTCCAGCCTGGTTTTTAAATACTATACTGGTAATTTATTGAGAAAGAGCAATGCCTGCTGTGATAATGACTCTTAAGTAGAAGTATTCTTCTTTGATGTTTAATGGGATTACTGAGATAAGATTTAAAAACACTAAAATTTACATACATATATACATATACACACACAGATACATACAAGCATACATACACGCATGCATATATACATATATATATATATATGTGTGTGTGTATATATATATATATATATATATATGAATGTTAAGGCAGATGAAAATGCAAATGAGTTAATTGTTTTTAAGTAAGTATTTGTTGTTGTCCCTGCATTTAGACAATAGCTCGGTTCTTTTGTTTAGTGCTGACTGTTTGTCTGAATATATTATGTGAAGTTTCTCGGTTATGCATAGGTTGCAGCGTTTCATTTTTGGGGAGTAAGCCGATGCTCTGTCGATAATAGACCATTTGATATTGTAGGGTGTGTTGCTGTTTTTAATTTCCATACGTATTTGGAGAGTACGGTGCCTTTTCTGTGTTTGGGGGTGTTAAAACTGTATTTGTGGTTTGTGTATCGGTTTTGAACGGTGTGTCAGTGAGCCCGATGTAGCATTCAGTTGTAATATTTTTGCTGGTTCTAATTTCCAATTTTCTGTTGAAAGCTAACAATCTATTGTACAATGTAGGTCAGCAATCCAATAATATTTTATGTCAAAGTTTATTACATTTGTATTAGTATATCATAAAATTATACCAAATGCTTTCAGGCCTAAAATTGCCTGCAGCACCAAATGTTATCTGTACACTATATTGTCCAATATTGAATTTTTTTCCTCCTAAATGCCTCCGGGACAGTTATGATGCCTCGACCAGTCATGCACTTTTTCCAGCCCTGATGCTTTTGCAAACTGGATACAATGGAGCTGTATCTTGGTTAAGATGCCTGCCCTTCAATCTTCTTGGCTCAAACACTATGTCATTTGGTTTTAATGTCTCAAGCCCTGTTCACACTATCAAATTTCATTTGACAAAAACATGTGACATGCCTAAATATGGTCATGATGACATCACATCATGACCGTATATAGGTGCATCATGACTGTATATGGGAAAAAAGCTTGGTTCCCACTTGCACAAAAAACTGCCGCAACTCAACGTAAAAATATGCACTTCCGACAACTTCGCATCTCCCCCATCTCTACGGAAAGTTGAATTTGCACTTCTCAAATGACGTAACATAACAAAATGTATAAGGTTTCCACTTGTCACCATGCGAACGCAATAATTTTCGCGGTAAGGCTATAAAACCGTTATGAAATTATCATTCATTGTAGGGTTACCGATGTTGTAGAGTAGAGGCTAGTTGTGTTTTGAATATTATTTATCGATAGGATATAATGACTTTTAGCTTAACTGTTCGGAAAAGCCTACCATGAAGAAAAAAAATAATTAGGCCCAATTATAAATTACTGATTTATTTTTCGCAGAAAAGCCTCTAGATTATGCCATAGTCTGTTTAATAAATACAGTTTACACTTATGTAATTAATAATATATACATAATCTAATCATAATGCACCTAGTCCTTATTTTAAAAGGTAATGTTTTATTGTATTAATTTGGCATAATAAATTAAATATTTAGCTACAGTACATCGTTTAACTTAATTACAAATCCTATGATATTTTCATGTTTTGGTAAACCTAGGGTTTTAATTTTGTTTATGCAGATCTGTATAACAAATAAATGAATTTCCATAACATATGATTAAATACTGTACATTAAAACAACCAAAATTAAAAAAAAGCTAAAATGAGAGTCAAAAATGGTGCTAGACTTAGCACCAAATCAATGTAATATAAAAATAAAAAATAAAAATAGTTTCTGAAGAACGGTTTACAGGTGAAGATGCATTGCAAAATATTAATGTTTACAGTATATACATGCCTTGCATAAGAAGAGCACCATCTAGGAAGAAGTGAGTTATTTCTTTTTGGGAACAGAAAGTATTTTACAGCCTATTCTGAAATTTTGCTCCAAACATTATGGGGATGAAGTGAACGTGGACCTACAGTACTCATTACAGAATGTTCGAAATTACTCGAGCATGTATTGGGCATGTGTTTCACGAGTAAAAAGCTAGTGTCATTATTCCGTGAGTGCTCCAATTATGATTTTACTCAGCATACACTTCCTGGTAAAAATCGGAACTTGCGGTCTACGAATGGTCACATGGGCTTGTAAAGTTGTTTATTCACGATCTTTTACTAGAGTTCTGCTACGACTTTTCCTTGAGCACTGTCACGTAATCGGAATACACTCTTTTGTCTCTATTATTATTAGTACGAAAGGTGTTTCAGGCGTGGTTGTATCGTTCAGGACCTTGGAACCTGTCAGGGAATTTTTGGGGCCCCGCCAAGTTGTACTTAGACATTGTGAGACTATTTTCCAATTTTTTAGATGGGTTGCATGAAAACATATTTCCATTAAATTCTATCCTGTGCTAAAGTGGTTTATAAATTTTTAAGAGCACGACCTCAACAAATGACCTCATCCAGGGTCATATGAAGTCTGCCTCTTCTACAGTACACAATCATTTTCAAAAACTTTAAGCTTTGTCTACACTATCAAATGTCATAAAAAAAGCATCACATAAAATGTGATGGAACATAAGATTTTATTACATGTTTAACTTTTTTTGATACAGTTTGATAACATGCGATATATAATGTCATCGTACCCATATATGGGCCCATCGCATGTTTTTGTTTTTATCACATAAAATTTGATAGTGTAGACAAGGCTTTAGTGAGATTTGAGTATCACACAATAATAATGATCTTCTGTAACTACCAGTTTTATTGACTGTTGAATGTGAATGAAATCAAGACTACAGTACAGCAATATAAATCAATACTGTATAATATAATATAAACACCGATCCCAAATTTAGAACATAAAATTCATGGTTAATACTTATAAGGAAATACTCTATAATCACTTCCTTTCAACTATATTTGGGGTAATCAATGCTCCTAAAATAAGAAGCTGAAAGGAAATTAGTATACGCTCCTCTTTGTTGCGACCTATCTATGATGACCTATCTATATTTATAAAGCAAAGGTCAAAGGAAACATGAATATCTAAATCAAACATCATTTAAGATGAATTCAGCCAACAATAAAGATCACAAGAATAATTAAGACATTGTTCTATTATTAAGAAAATCAAATGGAACATTTGCCTTCCCTTTTAAAATGCTCATTATGTTTTTAGCATAATATTGTCACCGCTGCCGGTTTTTTAATTATGAAGAATTCCACACCCTACTGAAATTTAGAAGGTGGCATGTTGCTTTTCAATTGAACTTCAACTTTCATATGTAAAATGAAATGCCTTAGGTGGTGAATCTGCTACAACAGGTCTATAAAACAAACTAGAATACATGTACTTTTTAAATTAACCCGTTTTCTCCATGGGTGGGTAATAGAAACTGCCTAAAGAGGTGGAAAAGGTGCTACAAAGTGACTTTAATGTTTGTACCACACACAAACACAATACCCAAAATAAATTTGGCCAATAAAATTTTCTTTTTCACTTAATTTTTTTGTGGGTTTAATACATGTTTTTATACTTATATAAGGTAAAACATTATAATAAACCTGCATTAAATCTATATATCCTTGTAAGCAATATGTGTCTGTTGGCTTATGACTGTGATTGTGCATCATGTAGTAATAATGGTGAGTATAACAATGGAGGTATATCCATAGGTAGTCAACCTTTGGGTGAAAAACCTTATTCTCAAAAAGAACAAGTAAAAGTAAGTAAATATAAGTATAAGTATTTATTGTAACAAGAAAGTGAAAAATGCATCTTGAGCTGAGTTTTGAAAGGACATGAGGGAAGTGCCAGAGATCTGACAACTGACTTCATAAGTGTGCTAAATCAATAAACAAAAAGGCATAACCTACTTGCTGTGAAACACCTCGGCATTGGTGCGTGTTGGTGGTGGGAGTTTCTTTCGTGTACCGCGCTGAACAAAATCCATTAAGGAAACAGAAGGTGAGAAGCATGTGTCTCTATAAGAAAGTAATGATGATGATAAAAATATTAATGGTAATATCAATTTAAATTTATCACCAAGGTTAGAACAGGGTTGTTCTTACCTAGCTGCTGGCATACCAAAGTGCCATTTACTGTTTACCTGTGCTTATAAATAAACATGAAAATGAACATATTTTAATAATTAATCAATATCAATGGTCATAACTCATAAATTAACTAGGCTATCATTATGGCATTAAAACATTTTTAAAAACATACTTAGCAGCAGTTACGACCACACTACGGTTCGGCTCCATGTCGTAACTCTGAGCTTGGCATCCGTAAAATTCGGCAAGTTCATGAACAATTCTACGTTTGTCGCGATTCATTGGTTGAAATGAGTGGCTTCGTTTTGGCTGTTTTGACTGAAACGTAAAAAAGATTAATTTATCAAGCTTACCATGATGCATAGTTTTGAGATTGTATTTGCAGATGTATTCTGCATTTGGTAAATGGAGTAATGCTGTAATCACCACATCACTCATCGACACAAACATGCTGTCAGGTAGGAATGCAATGAAAACACCATAAGTTATACATCACTATTGTGCTTGAAAATTGTTCCTAATGTCAAAAGTAGAGCAATAAAACTAACAACACAAGACAACAATTGTACAACTAGGTTGACTGATAGTCATACGTTTATACTACAAAAATCTTAGATTGTAAGCTTACCTGCTGAGCAGAGAGAACCACTGCTTTAATTGCATCTTCTATTGAACTTACAAGTTGAGGCTGGTTTCTAAAAATGGCGACAATAAATAAAAAAAAAATTGAATAGAACCTTATCAGAGTCAATACTTTCAAATGTATGAAACAATAGCATTTTATCACATTGTTTTGAAATATACAGTATAAGTATGTATTTGTAATTTTCCCCTATGCTTCATCCTTTACTTGTACTATATATTTTGAGTGTGGAAAATGAATAAACTGAAACTGAATAACAATATTAAATAATAAGACAAACAATAAAAAACAGTAACTTTAAAAAAGTAGAAAGTGTATTAAACTAAACTAAAAAAAAAAAAAAGACAAACAATAAAAAACAGTAACTTTAAAAGTAAAAAAAAAAAAAAAAAAAAAAAAAAAAAAAAAAGACAAACAATAAAAAACAGTAAGTTTTAAAAGCAGAAAGTGTATTAAACTAAAAAGAAAAAATTAAAAAAAAGAACATAACCAGTTAAAATCGACCAATATTTGTTTTCAAAGGATAATCTAAAGAGGTTTGGTGCACTGTATGTTTGATAAAAATCATGGGTGCAGGTATATACAAAGCAATCCAGTTCTTTGACCTAATAATTGGTATACTTGGCAAATATTGGGGAAGTACATGTTTATCAAAAGCCACAATCAACTTCTAATAACTATCAAGTCTTTAACCTCAACAATGATTTTTTTTTAATCTTTGGCCTACCATCAGGTTTTACAAAGCCAGTCTTTAGTCTTTTTCTGCTTCCTTTCCTTCCTTTTTTTTCTGCTTTTTTAATTGCCACTTAAATAATTTTTTTTTTTTAATTCAAGTTTATTTTAATTTTTTTCCATCAAGCACTGGATTCTTTCTGCTTGGGATAGCAGCATATTACTAGTGGCTGTAGGTTGTGAAGACCAGGTTTAACTGTTTGGCTATTTGACTCGCCTGCAATAATCCTTCAATGCTTGTTGAAAGATGTACAGCTTCATTAAACAATTAATTATGAAAGTAAAATGATTCTCTCTTACTTGGCTTGGTCTTTAAGAAACTCTGTATAATTTGGAGTTCCAATCTTTGATGCAAAATCTGGATTTTTTATTTGGAGTGCAAGAGCAAAACGTCTGAAAACAGAAAAATTAAATTTATAAATTATATATTGATGTTTCATTTAAAATTTACATACTATGAGAATGAATTATTATTATATTGAACATAAACATAACAATATAACAATCATGAAGTTAACATGAACAGCCCACACCCCCATCTCCCCATTTTGAAAAATTAAAAAAACATAAAAAAAAAAAAAAGAAAGAAAATTATATTCAAAAAAGTATGAGAATGCCATTTCTGGCCATCTAGATGTGCCATAAGCTTTTTCTTACTTCAGCCCCAAATACAGTGGGCTGAGGTTGTCTAGACCCAACACCTGTACAAGTCCCTCTCTTGACCCCTTCCATTTCAAATTCCTGGATCCACCACTGAACTGCAACAAGAAATCAGAGCAGACATATCTGTGTTTGCTAATAGAAATTATTGCTGTTGAACGTGAATTGAGTCAAAACTACAGTACAGCAATATAAATCAATATAATATATCTACCCCACCCAAATTTAGAATATAAAATTCAAGGTTAATTATAAGGAAATACTTTATAAGCACATCCTTTCAACTATATTAGGGTAATAGAAAAACAGAAAAGTATATTCACATTTAAGTATGAGAGCTCCATTTCCAGCCATCTAGATGTGCCATAAATAATAACTACAGTACAGCAATATAAATCAATATAATATATCTACCCCTTCCAAATTCAGAATATAAAATTCAAGGTTAATTATAAGGAAATACTTTATAAGCACATCCTTTCAACTATATTGGGGTAATAGAAAAACAGAAAAGTATATTCAAATTTATATATGAGAGCGCCATTTCCGGCCATCTAGATGTGCCATAATCATTCTCTTACCTCAGCCCCAAAGTATGGTGAGGGTAGAGGGGGGCGCCCCCGAAAGGGGGAAGGGAGACAGAAATTTGGGCCAATTGAGACAACAATGTCCTAAGGGGTCCGGGGGAATGCCCCCGCGATATTTTTGTGTTCTAGACGGCCGAAAATAACATCTGAGGCGTTGTGGGCTATCTTTTTTTCTTTTTCTTTCTTTTTTTTTTTTTAATCTCCCAAAAGGGGGGGGGGGCAGGCCGGTCCCCCATAAATCCACCCCTGTCTTACCTCAACCCCAAAGTATGGTGGGGGTAGACGTAGTTCAGACCATCAATATTTCAACAAAATAATTTACATGACAAGAAAAATTAAGGTGATGTCATTACTTACTTATTCCTCTCAATTAGGGCACATTCCTCATTACATTCCAATCTGCAAAATAAATCAGGTTTTAGGCTTACTAATAACCTTCACATTAAAACAAAATCTAATAGGTTAATATAGATTAATATTTTTATTAATAGTTGACATTTTGATTGGATGAACTATTGAGATCTTCTGCTGCAATCATGTTCACCATTCATCAGTTTGTAGAAAACTTGATAATGTTAAAACTATCATTACTCGGACTACCATATCATTATCTTAAATAATCACTGTCATCCATATTTCAAAAAAAGTGTTTCTCAAACATAGCTTTGTCCACACTATGAAATTTTCTTTGAAAAAAAAAAGTGTTGTATGCCCATATATAGCAATGATGTGCCTATATATAGTCATGATGTGATGTCATCATGACCATATTTAGGCATGTCACATGTGTTTGTCAAATAAAATTTGATAGCCTTGGTATGGCTTTAGGTTTGGTCACACAAAGATTGAAGATGAGATTTCTAATACAAAATTAAGACAAAGGAGGAAACATGATACCTAGAGAGGAAATCACAACTTCACAACTAGTTATTAAAAAGTGAAAAAAATGTAATCGTAGACTGGATGAATGGTTGAAATATCATTTTAATGGACACAGGACTTCTCTGAAGTGTCAATTCTAGCTTTACAAACGACCAATCAGGTAAGGGGTAGAAACGTGCACAATCCCATGAACATTTAAAATGAAAAAAAGAGCATCACAATAAACCATTCCACTTTGCACCGTTCCCAGGACACCATTACTACTGTAAGGTCCACAAAAAACAAAGCATCAACATACTGTACATAAAAACATGTGCTTGTCGGAAATGTGCATGTTCCCCTGTTCTCAACTGTTATGTTTGATTGAAAATCCAGGTCACTTGTGTTTAAATCATCCTCTGCTTAAAGGACAATGTAAAATTCCCTTCAACAAAACATTATTATTGAAAAAATATATTCCATGTTTTCATTATTTTGAAGCAGATCATAATTATTGTTATCATGACCTCTGGTGAAATTTTATATGCCAGTTTGTTTTTTTAATTTCCTGCTTAAGTTCATTATATGGTTTCCTCTGAGGACTTCCTACGAAAAAAACTTTGTCTATCAAAACAACTTCCAAAAAAGCAACAGTAATGACAAACAGAATTTGATCAAAGTACTCCCTTGATTTAAGTTATAAATAAGTGATTCATATTTCAAAGTCATATAATTTATCATCCCTTTCTCGTAATTATTACCACTCATTTCTACTTAGTACTTTTCTGAAAAAAAAGAAAGAAACCAACTCACAATGAGATGCTTGCATTAAGTACTTTGGCATTAAATGAAATATGAATGGGCGCCATAGGTTTGTAACCAAAGGCTCATTATTTTACACAATAGCAATTTGAAGACTTGAGGAAAATACTCATCAAAACAAGTAATAATGTACATAAAACTAGAAATGCTCCTTTTACACTGTCCAATAAAAGCATGTCTTCCCCATGGTGTGATTTTTCTCTAAGAATAGATAAGTAGGAGTTTGAAACCAATCAGAGTTACCAAAGTTTAATTATCGTGGTAAGAAACAAAACAAAAAAACAGCGACAATGTAAAAAAAAATAAAGAAATGTTACAATTTCAAGTAAATTAGAAATTTTCTATAGTAGTCAATAATAATGATATGTCGTATTTACATAGCGCTCAATGCCAACAAGGCCTCTAAGTGCTTCAAATTACTACCCCCGGTCATTGGATTTGATGCCTATGGAACACAAACTGTTCCATAAAGTTGCAGCAGCTACATCAATGTGATGGTATTTAGCATAAATTTCTGATTAGAAAATTATTAATTATGCAAATGAGCAATAAGCATATTCACAAATGTACCAAAAACAATAGGCCCGTCTGTCGCTTTAGTACCATCTTGCATTCTGCCAAGTTTAGAACCTATCAGACTTTCCAACTTAGGTATCGTAGTAACTAGCCTAAATTACTTGATTAGTCAAATATTAATTATGCAAATGAGGAATTAACATATTCACACATGTACCAAAAACAGTAGGCTCCATTTTCTTAATACCATCTTGCATTCTGCCAAGTTTGATACGAATTGGACTTTAGTAATTGTGGTAACAATTTACCCAACAACATTGATGACGATAACAATAACAATGACAATGACAGCAGCATGAGGAAGAATATGGGTAAAAACAATGTCCTCCCAGGAGCTTCATTCCTTTTAGGAGGCTAAAACACCGGTAGAATAATAGGGATCTTTTGATTTGTGCGGCGACTTGACGCTAGAACGGAATCACTCATGCATGACCGTCCTACCTGGTGTCCTACGTTCTCTGCATACGTTGATTTGGAACAAAATTGCGTTCCAGAATCTACTTGAAAAAAGTGACCTTAACATTTTTGCATGGGCAGATGACTTTTAGTGACGTCATTACGTTCTACGTCCTACCGTCGTCGTGCAATCAAAAGCTCCCTACTAGAGTACCCAGAGCCTCATTCCTTTGGGAAGGCTCTAGAATTGGCATTCCAAAGGGTGCATACCTTTATCCTGTTCTTTAATTAGGAAATATATAAAAAAAAAAACAAAAAAAAAAACCCAAACATTTCACTTTCTGACAGTGACATATGATCTTTTCACACCAAAATTTAAAAACTAATTTCTACACCTTATATGCAAAAACTGATGGATGGATCATCATAAAAGTTGGCAGAGCATTCAATGCTCCACTAAGTTTTATGATGATTCATCCATCAGTTTTTGCATAATCTTTAATATTAAGGAAGTAATTTACAATTTCTGTGACCTTGACTTGTTTCACCTAAACATTTAATCACCTCTTATGTACACTCCACTAAATTTATGATGATCCGTTCATTAGTTTTTGCATAATAATTTTTGTAATTTCTATGACCTTGACTTTTGATCTTTTCATCCCAAATTTAATATGCTCTCTGTAATCAATTAACTTTATAATGATCCATTTATTACTGTTTGCAAACACTGCAAACCACCCCTCACCCTTCAATCTTTATTATTTGTGTTTGTTTGCGAGACTGTAGTATTGTAATGCGTGGGGTCCCTGAATGATGACCAATTTTATTCCTGCCACTGTTTTCCTAATAATGGAGACTTGGCTTGCTCTTCATAACTACAAGGGAAAGGCGCAATATAAATACCCAGTACCAGTACTTCACTCCTCCGCGTTGTTTTCCAAATAAGGAGTTCCGCAAAGTCGAAGCAGCATATTTTTGCATTGCTCCACTTTATTGTTTTATCTGTGTCAACTCTTATTTGACAACTTACTTGATCCTATTAAATAAGCAATTCAATGTTTTTATAGTGTTTTTCCAGATTTCACTGCAGACAGTTCATCCTTAAGAGTATTAACCACAAACAACATTGAGTACAGTATTTTCTTTGGTTACAGGACATAGGCTTAGCCAGCGAGCCGTCTGGCCATCTACAACAGCCTACAATTATTTAGGAAGGCCACTTTTACCGTGACGGCTTGGCCTAATCAGCTTGGCCTAGCCAAATTGGGCCTGGTCTACCTTTAGCAAATTCTTTATATTCTTCAAATCTATCGAATGTTACATTAAACTAAAGCTAAATAATATTTACGCTTGATAAAAACAACATTTATTGATTGAATGTACGTTGTTTTCATACCAATATTCGGTGGGGATTCCCAAAGATGGCCCGCCCATCAGCTCAGTGCCATGCCCACTGACTTCCATTTTGGACGGCCTATTTCATTTTTCTGGCTAAATCCCTGTTACAGAATCACTTGATACATTCTCATTTCAATAAGGCAATTCTTGGTTTGAATTGGGCATGCAAGTATCCAGTGGTATTCAAGGTCAATGATATAAACCTATGTTGTGTTGTTTTTTTATGCTGATTGATCTTAATTAACCCACCTATTTAAAGCCAGTGTCAGCTGACAATAATGGCACCAGAAATTTGCCAACAGAGATACCCACAATTCTGACAGGGAAATTTGAACCATGGAAAAATAAAGATTAAAGTTATCCCTCTATGTTTGAACGCAGACATTGGTGAGAGCCTCAGTCACTATCAGGGTCCCTAATAATTTCCCTGGTGGTAGGGTTGATGGGCTGGGTAAGTTTTTATGACCTAGTATGGACCAAAATTTTAAGAATTGACAATCAAGATAACGTCATTAGGATAGAGAAATTAATATTTTTGACCCAACAACCTCATCGTTGTGGTCGGATGAGGGCGGTAAAAGCCTGTGGGATGGACCTCTCCGCAACTGTTTTCCGACAAGATTTCATAAAGAACACAATGCGACAAGGCGCTTTAATGACAATCCCCCAACAGGAGAGTCACTGACTATCAACAGACATTATTTCTTCAAGCACTTACAGAGTGCAAAGATAAATTTGTCATATGACCGTTGGCTGATGCAATGTGTATCTGGCTTTATAGAGGACTTTATATTAAATTTTCATCTCATAATTAGTGGATAAATACAAGCTGTTGACAACAACATTAATTGTTGACAAAAACTTCTGTATTTCAATAATAATGTTTCAATTTTTTCCCCAAAGATCGTATTATATACTTTATAAATGTAAAGAAAGCCGGTTGATATAAAATATAGTTACCACAAATAATTGGTCACAGGTGGTTCAGAATTTTGTTTTCAACTGTGCATAATTGGATGCTATTTTTAGTCACAATAACTAGACCAAAACATTTTAACAAGTCAGGACTGTGAACTGACTGGTACCATGTACCACTTTAATACAAACACCAAATACCAACATTCTTTATTTGTCAAAAATAGCTTTTTAAAAAAAAATAATTATTAATATTAATGTGAATTAAAGGGACAGCTGAGACAAGCCTAGGCTTCTAAACTGGTCCCTCACCATTGTACTTTCCCTGCTTTTTTGTTATATTTTGATGTTCTTTGTATGTTAATATGTTGATAGCAAAACAAGTACAATTAACATGACAAGAATCAAAACAGCAGACAAAAAAAATGCCGAAATGGGGGGGGGGGCCTGAAAAAAATGCATACAATAAAGCATATATTTAAGATTGATTGAATATAAATTGTAAGAACGAATAAAATGTATACAAATAAACAATGGAACAATAACACAAACTTAAACAAAACTACCAAAGAAAGAAAAAAAAAAAAAGCAATGTTTGAGCTCTTGCCAAAGAAGTATATATTTTCAGTGACATGGATCACATACTGCATTCTCCACAGAATTGTTACTCATAGAACACTATAGAGGGCAATATAACCAACTGATGGTCAAATAAAAACTCTTCCTTTGTTCAGGATATATCCTTCAATACATCTGTACTGCTATCCATAGAGTTAGATTCATATTTAAAAAAAGTACAGGGAAACATAACAGTATTACAATGCTCTCCATTTAAAAACATTTAATTCAGATTAATATTGTCAAAATTACAATCACTGAATTAATTTTAAGTCAGTACTTCTTATAACATTATTTAAATCATATTATGGACAAGGTGAAGAGGCATAATATGAGATAGAAAGAAGGAAAACCTACGAAAGACCTAATACCAATGGGGGGCATTCAATTCATTGGTTGAATTGCTTTTCTTATCTACAGTATCTTTATCAAAAGAGGAAATAAAAACCATCTTAAATTGGATGCAGTTGCATTTTTGAAACAGTAAAAATAATGGGAATGCTTACTGTCTTGTTTTGCGACCATCATTGAGAGCCATCAGGCTGCTTATGTCCATGGATTCCCCTGACTGAAGACCATGCATCTTACTAGCCAGGTTAGATGTTGACAGCCTGCATAAAATGACATAATAAAAATATCAAAAAATAACTTACTACACAAGTTACATACTTTGACAAGTATTGACAAGGGAATGATAATAATAATAATAATCATAACAATAATGACTATATTGATGACTATCCAGTGGTGCAAATGAGGGGCAAGGTAAAATTTAGGGGGGGAAAACAATAATGACTATAATATGACCATCCAGGAGCAAGGTAAAATATACTGGGGGTGGCCAGAGGTGGTCGTGGTCGGGCTTCGCTCAAAATGTCTTAAAATTTGTCCTGGGGGAAAAGCCAGCGAAGAAAATGACATTTTACGGGGCTTCAGGGGTTTGATCGATTTTATAGATAAATAGTCTACTAATAAGTAGAAAATACATATCATTTCTTTTTGGTTTTCTTCTTTTATAGGGGGAAAAACTGGTGGGGAAAGAAAATTATCTGGGGAAAATCTTCCCCCCCTCCCCCCTGTAGTGCTGCCACTGTGACTATCATACAAAAAAGGTAAAAAAAAAAGGTTATTACTGTAATTATTATACTACAGTATTAACAAATGAGTAAAATGAGTAAAATGTGTAATGGAAGCTGTGGTAACTTACTTTTGAAACAGCTGTGCCATCTGTGAGTCATCACCCCCAAGTAAGCACATGACATGATCCGTGCGGTTACCACATGCACATGATATCGTCAGCTGTAAATTAAAATACATGATTAGCTTTTTGTTATTGTTCTTGACAACCATTTTGGATTGAATACAAAGGAGATATTTAATTACTGTAAATATTTAAATGTATTTGTCTATTCCAAGAGGTCTTTAAGATTAAAAAATACAAAACCTGTGATTATGGAGGAATTGCTCCATGCTGTGATGAGCTAAAACTGCTTGCATTGCTTACTTTGTATAGTTACTTGTTTTTAATAGCAAAAATTAATTAATTAATTTACTAACTAATTAAGGCGCGACTTCTTCTTATACCTTGTTTGGTGAACCCACCTACCGTCCGCCAATAATCATGATTTCAAATAAAATAACATTTTTAGTTTTGGCCAATTAGCACGCTCGTCGCCAAGAAAATTTCAGAAAAAAAAAAAGTTTTTCTTCATGTTTATTACACCTGCTGCTGCCTTGAAATCCCCAAAAATAAGATAATTTCTTCCTAATTATGTAAATTTAAAGCATATAACCATCCCATTACTGTTTACATTTTCCAATAAAATTTTATTTTTGTTTTCTCCTGTCTTCATGTTTTAGGCAAAACCATTTGCTAAATAAGAAAACAACATTTCATTTAGTTTTTTTTTCTGCCCTCCTGCGATGATCTATAAAAGATTTTTTGCGAAACAAGGTGCAAAAATTCTCGCCTAATGGACTTATAAATAATATCAATGTAATATTCTATGTACAGACCATTGCACTGGCTGGTATTTGATTTAATGATTTTTCTAGTAAGGCTAAAAACATATTTGATTTGATTTATTATTCAATATGCTCTTTAAAATACGAAACCAAACAAATAAACATGAACTGATCAAATCACAAAAGACTATAGCAGGGATAACCCTAAAATTGCAAAACAGACAACTATTTCCATAGGGGCCCCCCTATATTAATTAATATGAAATGAACATAATTAAGCAAAATTGAACAATTAACAACAATATTTTACCAATACAATACAGTTCTTTATTCATTCATTTCCATTTATTGTCATTTGCATCATAAAACATAGAAATTGATTTTGCTCTGAGACACAAGTACAGTACATAAAATACAAAACTAAAACAACAACAAAAGTACACCAACAGACCCACTCAAAAGAAAGAATACGAAGGATGAGTTATGTCTCGCAATATAGGGTTTGTTTTATTCTTAAACCTATAACAAAAATGGACTCTATAGAGCTCTGCTCTATTCCCGTGATATGGGATGCGTACCAGGGGCGGATCCAATGGGGGACACATGTGGGGGGGGGGCCCTGTTTGGGTAATAAATTTTAATGCATATCAATTTCATGTATTGAAATAATCACTACTTACTTATCTAAAAAAATAATGTGCCCCTCCCTCTCCCGTTTGAAAAATTCTGGATTCGCCCCTGCATACTTACTGTATCTATAAAAACATTGATAACTAGACTTACTATGTCTGTTTGAACAACAGAATATAGGGCTTTGAAATGAAGTTGAAATTGCAACAAAAAGAAAAGTCATTAAAAGGTATAAAGTAAAAAAAAACATGGAAAACCAAAATAATTTTAATGAAGTGTAAAAAAAGGAAGTAGAAAAAAAAAAAACAAGTTTACTGCGACAGTATTACTGAGAATTGAACTATGGCTGCAATGGTAATAATTTATAGCGAGGTACATCGTGACTCATAATCATTGCGCGCCATATGAGCCGACCTTGAATAGGAAAGTGCATTTTCATAGCGATTCAATTAATGAAAGCAAAATTGTACATGCATATCATGGCCGTTTTGAGTTTAACCTAGCTGTAACTGGTTTAAGCACTTTAGAAAATGCAAATTGCGTTTACATAATTTAATCAACTGACAACAAAAAATCTTTAAATGGTCCTTAAACTTTCCCGAAAGTTATACCCATTGATTTTTTAAGAGATATTTAGGTCTGGGTCTTCAAAAATTGAAATGACCCTCCCATTTCTAAGCATGGGATGTGACCAAAGTGACAGCCAGAAAAAAACTGTGCAAAAAGATATGAAAAATATATGCAAAAAAAAAAAAAATCTGAACAAAAACAATGGCTTTTCCCAGTACAATAATGATGACAATAATTTTTTGAGTATTATTGAAAGTGATAAGTTATTTGATTCTAATCTTAAGACATTTTCATAGTTTATCATATGATCGACGGTATAAACAAGTTTACTATTACAGACCTCATGAAAGCTGACTGAAAATGTCCAATCTAAGAATTCCTAAACCAATGGTTTATAAAATATAATGTACTTAATAATTTAAAGACTCACCTTTGTTTTGCACTGGGTTTTGGGACAAGGTTGGTCAACATGGCAAGGGGCCCCACATGGATGACCACAATCTGACCTGATGACCATACATGTTTGGTCACATGGTGCACTATCACATGGATCCTGCAACCAAAAGTTTATACATTTTTTGTTATATTGCCTGTCATATTAAAAAACAAATATATCATTACTATATTAATATAGTAGTGTTCATCACTAGTAATGTTCAGACCCGAGAGGCATATCTAATGCCGGGTATACATTAATCCAAGGTGTAACCAGTGAGATGTCCAGATTGGGTGATTCGTGATTGGTATTCGTAATCGCGCATTTTATTTCCTGTTTACATCTAGGGTTATTGTGATTGGTCAAATCTTAGCCAAGTTCAAAATCACTGATGCATGACTGTCGTAACTCAGTGGCGTACGCTAATCTGGGGGGTCTGTTGGTGGACTACTGTATGCTAGTGATTGCACAATAATACTGGCGTTCGCTACACTGTGCACAAGTTCACCACACTCGATTAACGTTACGCCAGCGCAACTTGTTGTGTCTGAACGTAGCCTTAGATACAATGTTCTAAGTGTTTTCTGTGATAATAAATAATACATAACATATAATATCATATCTTATTGTATCAAATAATAAATAAAAAAAATATAAAAATTCTAAAATACCAAATTAACAAACTAAGATTAAATTCAAATATATTCAAATACAATAAATCAGCTTAATTTCTAATACTAAATACTCACATTATGACATCGTTTGCGACACCGATGTTGTCCACATGGAAGTTCTTTTCCACACGGATTTCCGCAGGTGAATTCTCGTAGGTAACATGGAATACTATTTCTTATCTGAAAATAAATATGCACGCAATAATTTAAAATTAAAGCATACACTTTGAGTATAAAATAAGAAAAGATTTAAATCAAGCACATTAATCAACTAAAATCAATTGGAGTGGAGTTGAAGAGCATAGTGGTTAAGAAGCTTGCCTTCTAATCCCAGGGTCCTGGGTTCAATTCCTGTGACTACTCACGACCCTCACGACAAGAAACAACTCCACTCCCTAAGCCTCTTAAAGAGACATCGCTGATAAAAGCATCACATTATTTCATTTATTTAAAGAGGGCCCCTAAATATCAGCCGACCTTCTAGGATATGCTGGAAGGTCGCCCTCTATAAATATGGTTAAAAAATATTTTTTTTTAATTTAACGAAAGCTCAATAAATAATATTATCCTTATCAGTTTATAATTTACTATAACAATGTATGTGATACTATGTAAATTTTAATGTATTATAATGTATAATAATCATTATAATTTTTGTAAGCTAACTTTAATAGGTCTGTAAGCAAATTAAATAGTGAATCAAGATAAAAAAAAAAAAAAACACCAAAGCCTACCTCATGTCCTCCCATACAGCTTTTGGAACAGAGCTCAGTGCAGGGGGGACACTCTGCCTCGCTATGGCACTGATGACGCACGGCATGATCACACGGATGCGATCGGGTACAAAGCTGATCACACACCGGTGGTTTGGTTCCACAGTGGATTGGAGGCATTAGCATTTGTTGGCCACAGTAGCAATACAGCTCATCAAAACCTAGAAAAAAAAAAGGTTAATTGAGTTTTAGGAGGATCTGGAAGTGGAAAAAAAAGAAGTTGGAAATTGAGACATGGACGGATAATTCTTCAATTTTGACGAGACTATTTAAAGTGTCTCACCTGATATGTTTCAATCAAACATATGAGGCTTGCCATTCCAAAACCTGCAAACTGTCGCTAATTGACATGTCAACAAGGACGCGAAGCCCCGCCCACAAAGTCACAAAAACCTTAGACAATGGCGGCTAAACTTACCGAGTTGGTGAAGATTTTCTTTGCTATCAACCTTCTTTAAGAAAGAAAATTCAGGGAAGCGGTATGCAAATGAATCATATATTCATAGTGTTAATCTATTTCGTGGAACATGGTGGGGAAATTGTTGTAAAAGCCTCTGTACTTCGCTCCCAAACAAAGAGGGAAAAGCCGCATTCAGTCAACCTTGTTGTCGGCAAAGGCCAAGTCACTGCTCGTGTAAATCTGGGTGTCTAAACAAGCATAGACATCGAGGTCTAGGCTCACGTATGTTTCGCGTTTAAACCAGCTGTCTAAGGAAATTAAAATTTCTTGGTCACTAATGCTGGTCTTGGGATGGCAAGCCTCAATTGGTGACATTTCTATGATTAAATTGCAGCCAGAGATCCCAATTCTCCTGAAAATCGCGGGTTCTCCCGATTTTTTAGGCCGTCTCCCGCCCTCCAGATTTTTATTAATATCTCCCGATTTTTAAAAATATCCCGAAAATTTCACGAAAAATGTGATTTCCACGATGTCATAGAGCAATGAAACAAAAATTCTTATCTTAAGCCAATATACTATGGC